ATTTTCATATTTACACTAAGTTATCTAGAATTTCATACCATCTCTATTTCACACTCTCAGAAACTTTGTGTTTTCATGTCTGCAGGATCTTCTTCAGAGATATTCAATGCAGCTAAGATGTTCAACCTCACCTTGTGCCCCATATTTTTTTATCAGAACATGTACCAGCAGGTCTATGTAAGTAAAAGGGAGTCACATTCTTCAGAATAAACCTGAATATTTGCTAGCTTGGGTTATGAGGCAAGTTTTTAACATGCAGCAGCAAGTTCATCCATCCCATTTAGTGGTTGAATCTTAATGTTTAGTTATAAGATTCTATATATTTTATATCAAGTCTTTGTTTTGTTTTTATTTTGATTTTAGTATAGGAAATTGGATGTCTCTGACCAAACATTCCAATGTGAATCATCTGTGGCTAAAGATTAAATACATGGAGTACAAGGGTAGAAAAAAACACTGTTGTGGTACCTCTATGCACTTAATACATTAATATTTACCGTACCTTTATGCAGATAAAAGAGTGAATCTGAAAGTATAAAATTCACCAACATAAAGAGTGAGCAGAAGACTTAAAGACAAGCCTAAATACTTTGTCTGCACATTTGTCAAATCGTTGATAATTCCCCACCTGACTGCTTTCTTCCAAAGCCATGTTTCAAACCAATCACATGTTTGAAATTCTGCATCATCCCTTTGTTTGTTTTGTTTTTAACAGGTCAACTTCACCAATGAGAACTTAGTGATTTGCTTCAATGGTTTTTACAACCTCAGTAGCGACGGTGACTGCATTATTGGGCCTAAACCAGACTCTGAGGAGGCGAAATTCAAGATCAGGGAAAAAGATGCTTCGTATGAAGCACAAGTCAAAGGAGCAGTGCAAACCATCACCAGCAGCATGAAGTGCTATGTGCATTTTGAGTTGATGTACATGAACAAAGAAGTAAGTATCATGTCCAAAATGCCATTTGAAGACTTTTTTTAATTCCTCCTGCTTATAGATTAACACTTTACTAACCAACACATGAAATCCCTAAAGTACCTCATTAAAAAAAGTGTTTCTTTTTCAATAAAGGTAAACCTAAACCTCTTCAATTTTGGGGAACAAGCAGCTCTGCATTTCAGTTCTGTCTCCAATGACCCCGAAGAGGTAAGTCTTTTTTTGGTGTGTTATTTGTATATATTCTGTACTTTACTTATTGTAAGAGAACGAAATGTCTTTGAAAANACAGATTCCTATGTTCTCTAGTTAAAAGACAGTAAATTACTTCCTTCCTGTGATGGTGGCAAACTCAATTAGATCAACAGCTAACATAATGCTAACTAAGCTAATTGCATGTTACATTGCACAGTTGACTGATTGATTTGCTCTCTGTAAAGAACCTTGAGATGACTTGAGATGTGAATTGGTGCTATATAAATAAACTGAATGGAACTGAATTGAATTATTTCAGTTTCCGAAATACTTTCAAACCTTTGGCCATGTGGGCCAAAACTGTCAATCTGACACTAAATGAGACATTTTTTTTCTTCTTGAATTTAAAATTAGATATTTTATCAAATCTTTCATTTTTATCTATACAACTACAAACGAAACAAAAGCTAAATCCAATAAAATGTCTGTTTAGAGATCTGAAATATAAAATATAATTCTTAATCAAAAAATGCAAACAGTATTTTAACACTGAAGTAAATGGCTTCAGCAGAACGTATCTTTATATGTCCTTCTCCATCAGGTGCTTTGTAAACATGATCTGCACTGTGACCGGCCCCACTGTGGTCGACTCTCAAGGCTATCAGAGCTCTGTGACGGATCGGTGCATGTACTCTCTGCTGTCAGACTCATCCAGCAGTTTTGAAGTGCTGGCTAACTTCCAGGAACGTCGCCGTCGGGATGTGAGCTTTTTGGACAGTGTGAGCCTTCGACCTGTTGGCTCAAATGATTACTTTCACCTGGAACAAGGTGGCAGAGTTAAGGTAATTCCCAGCAAATCTGATTGAAATGCCTCTACACTGCTTTCCTTGGCCACATAGATTCTCTTCCTAAGACTAACTGCTCTTTCTTGACTCTGCTGCACACAGATGAACGAGACAGTGTTGACCCTGAACAGTTCAGCCCAACAGATTCAGAATATTATGTTAAGCAAGGACAAAACTGGACTGTCAGCAGTGTTTTCATTCTCTGGGCTCAAAATATCAGTGATGTTTGATGGCTACACAGCACAGATCCACATGAATGGTAGGGAACCTATAAGGCAGTAAGAAGCCCTTAATTTATATTCAGATTTTTCACATTCTGTTCGTTTTCTCTGATGGAAGATCATTCCTGTTGAAAATAAGATTTATTTGAACACAAAATGAGAAGAATAGAAACATAAGATTTTTTTGTGTTCCTAACTGAATATAATCTTTTTATTACATTTGAGAGCACGGTCATTAATCTGTTTAACGGTTTTCAGGGCAAGTCATTTCTTTTATCAGTTATTTATTCGTAGTGCCTGCTGGTGGTGGTCAGAGTGTACAGGCTAATTACCTTATATATTCTGTATTTATTCCTAATTATTCTGGGATTAATCCTCCATTCATGGATTCATTGTTTCTATAGCAACAAATACGTAAAATTTTAATCTCTAAATGTGCAAAAAGGACACAGCCTGTAAGATTTAAACCTGTAATTGAAGCCAAATAGTGGTTGGCACATGGAGGCTGAATTTAAAGCAACCAATAATAGATTGCTGTTGTGTGATATGATGGCAGGAAAGCTACCAATAGTTTCTACACTAGATAAATATTTTACTGACCTTCTTTTTGACTGATGCTGCTTTTACCAACATTATGTCTGGAATCTTTTAGTACCTGTTGGATCATCGATGAAGGGCCTATGTGTTGACTCCAGGAACATTTCAAGTGTGAAACGTCTTGATTTANAACATTCTGTCCAGAGCTAACCTGGTCAGGAGCAGGTTCTGTTTAGTAAACTCAGTGTCCTTTGCCTCCACTCTTCTTTCAGCCAATCAGGTTGTCTTATTTCCTTATTTAATTGGAAGAGTTCTCTTGTAGTTACCTGCAAACAAGGAAAATCATTCACCTGATTCATTAGAGTCATTAGGTATTAAAAACACAAACATATGTCTTTTAGATGAGGATCCAATAAAAAAGTGAGCTGCATTAATTCTCAGAGATTTCCATATTTATAGGGAGAGGTTTCTCAGACAGCGTTTTGGTGTCCTTTATATTCAGAATGTTCCATTTGTTGCAGGACTAGAAGAACCAGAGCTATAGATTCCTATGTTCTCTAGTTAAAATACAGTAAATGACTTCCTTCCTGTGATGGTGGCAAACTCAATTAGATCAACAGCTAACATAATGCTAACTAAGCTAACTGCATGTTACATTGCACAGTTGACTGATTGATTTGCTCTCTGTAAAGAACCTTGAGATGACTTGTGATGTGAATTGGTGCTATATAAATAAACTGAATGGAACTGAATTGAATAATTTACTTCTATTCAGTTTCCTCAGTACTTTCAACCTTTGGCCATGTGGGCCAAAACTGTCAATCTGACACTAAATGAGACAATTTTTTTTCTTCTTGAATTTTAAATTAGATATTTTATAAAATCTTTCATTTTTATCTATGCAACTACAAACAAAACAAAACCTCAATCCAATAAAATGTCTGTTTAGAGATCTGAAATATAAAATCTAATTCTTGCAAACAGTATTTTAACACTGAAGTAAATGGCTTGAGCAGAAGCTGCATGTCAGGAAAGTTTCAGCCCAGGTGAGCTCAGGTTCAGCTCTAATATGAACGTATCTTTATATGTCTTTCTCCATCAGGTGCTTTGTAAACAGGATCTGCACTGTGACCGGCCCCACTGTGGTCGACTCTCAAGGCTATCAGAGCTCTGTGACGGATCGGTGCATGTACTCTCTGCTGTCAGACTCATCCAGCAGTTTTGAATTGCTGGCTAACTTCCAGGAACGTCGCCGTCGGGATGTGAGCTTTTTGGACAGTGTGAGCCTTCGACCTGTTGGCTCAAATGATTACTTTCACCTGGAACAAGGTGGCAGAGTTAAGGTAATTCCCAGCAAATCTGATTGAAATGCCTCTACACTGCTTTCCTTGGCCACATAGATTCTCTTCCTATGACTAACTGCTCTTTCTTGGCTCTGCTGCACACAGATGAACGAGACATTGTTGACCCTGAACAGTTCAGCCCAGCAGATTCAGAATATTATGTTAAGCAAGGACAAAACTGGACTGTCAGCAGTGTTTTCATTCTCTGGGCTCAAAATATCAGTGATGTTTGATGGCTACACGGCACAGATCCACATGAATGGTAGGGAACCTATAAGGCAGTAAGAAACCCTTAATTAACATTCAGATTTTTCACATTCTGTTTCTCTGATCGAAGATCATTCCTGCTGAAAATAAGATTTATTTGAACACAAAATTAGAAGAATAGAAACATAAGTTTGTTTGATTTTTTTGTGTTCCTAACTGAATATAATATTACATTTGAGGGCACGATAATTTATTTGTTTAACGGTTTTCAGGGCAAGTCATTTCTTTTATCAGTTATTTATTCATAGTGCCTGCTGGTGGCGGTCAGAGTGTACAGGCTATTTACCTTTTATAGTCTGTATTTATTCCTAATTATTGTAGGATTAATCCTCCATTCATGGATTCATTGTTCCTATAGCAACAAATACGTAAAATTTTAATCTCTAAATGTGCAAAAAGGACACAGCCTGTAAGATTTAAACCTGTAATTGAAGCCAAATGGTGGTTGGCACATGGAGGCTGAATTTAAAGCAACAAACAATAGATTGATGTTGTGTGATATGATGGCAGGAAAGCTACCAATAGTTTCTACACTAGATAAATATTTTAGTGACCTTCTTTTTTTGACTGATGCTGCTTTTACCAACATTATGTCTGGAATCTTTTAGTACCTGTTGGATCATCGATGAAGGGCCTATGTGTTGACTCCAGGAACATTTCAAGTGTGAAACGTCTTGATTTAAGCTCTTCAAGGTACAACATTGTTATGATTAAGTTGTTAAAAACAATTATTTTGCATTTCAAAGGATTCCCCCAAAAACATGAAGCTGAGTTGTCCTTTTTTTTTATTAATTTTTTTCATTTTGCCAGCTGTGAAAGGCAGTATGAAGACCCTGTCGACAGTCAAATAAACTGCAACATGACAACTGAATAGTGAGTAGATTTATAAAAATATCTGTTATTCTTTGGGGTCATTTTCATAATGTATGGCACCATGTACGATGACCTAAAGTGGAAGAATAATTGATTTTCTTTCCTTTCTGTGTGATAAAGCTGTAACCTGTTA